CTTCTTGACCAGGAAGAGCCTCCACCAGTCAGATGCTTCTTAGTCTATTGTACAGGTGTTTTCTATACATTAAGATACGTTGTTCAGTACCTGGCTGCAGTTCCACATTTTATGATTACCACTTACACATTTTTAACCCTTTACCTAGATTTACCCAGATGGATTATACAATAACTCTAGTAATTAATGCAACCAAAAATCAGTGTTCTTTGTTGTTTCTTGCCTATTTGTTGTTGTTTTGTGTTTTTGTTCTCATCTAACCTGTTCAATATAAAGATGTATATTTAATGAAGTTGGTGTATGTTAAATATATAGCAAATCCTTATTCTTATAAAAGTGTATTTCTCCCCTAAATAGACCATGAACAAGCAACCTCCATTAAAGATGTGGAGGAAGCCTTAGCAGAAACCATCTCTCTTTGCGAAAGAACATCCCATACCCTGGACCAGCAGCAGAGGGAGGTACTACAGCACTGTACACACTCAGCATCTCTGCCAGTAAAGGAATTAGCCATGCATCCATGCAATTTTAACCCCATCCTCACTTCATATTTCCTATATTGCTTTGGTTTAAAGAATGTAGATGTAGTTTGATGAAGAGTTAAGCAAGACCTGCCATTCAAGATGCTTTAGACTGTATCAAACAGGATACACTGCCAGACCTTATAGTGAAACACCCTCAATTTTTTTAATGAAATATATAAATAATGCATTACAAAATATTGCAAATATTATTTAGCAAGGTGACCTCCCATCGGCAGTAATCCCATACGTGTTAAGAATGGAAACCTATACATTCTATGAATTCTGTAAAAATCTATTTGTTGCCAGATGATGTATATGGAAATAGATTGATAATATTAAAAACACCTATCAGTTTTTGCAGCTCCTACACATATACAGGTAGAAACAGTAGTAGTTAATTATTTGTTTAGGTGCCCCACCATTGGGCGCTTTATTGGAGGCGGGTTCTTTGCTCACTGTTTAGTAGACATGCCCCTACTCGCAGCATAGCGAAATAGGGGCATTCAGGAGATTTTAATCTCCCTTCTGCTAATATGGGGGTCATACTGACCCCCATAGAGTGAGAGGGAACATGAGGGGGTTAGGAAGTGGTAGGGAGCACTGCTCCCCGACGCTTCTATTTTGACATATTACAAGGAGGGAGCTGCGAGCTGGTAGGGGGGAGGAAAAAAAAAATGGATGCGGCCATGACAGTGCCGCTTTAAATGCAGCTTTGTGTGCTCTTGGTAAATATGCTTTTTTGGGGGGAGGAAGACAAATCTGTCTTCAGGTTCTATGTAGTTGTTAAAGAGCCTATATGATAGATAATGTCTTCTCTGATTCTTGTGAGATCATGCTTGTGTACAGTAAGATGACAATATAAATATATATATGTGGTTCCTCGTAGGCCCTTTGGTTTCCTTTGCTTGAAGTGATGATGTCTCCTCAGAAGCTTCTGTGTTCCTCTAACTCACAGTTATATTCTGCATGTAAGTAATTTTCCTATCTGTCTCTTGTTATCTTGTTTATCTTTGTTGTAATTAATAAAGTTTTGTAACACTATAAACAGTGCCATCCAATCACCAAACAGCAATATCTCCACTATGTCTCTCATAGGCTTAATCCATTCTCCTCCTTTTTTAAGTCTCTCCTATTAACCCCTTAAGGACACAACTTTTGAAATAAAAGGGAATCATGACGGAATATTTCTGTCATGTGTCCTTAAGGGGTTAATACGTTAAGATGACACTACGCCTATCGAGACCTGCTTAAAAAATAAATATTCTAAAAATCTGTAGGACTGCACTTGCTAGACATCCTTATAAGAAGCATAATTGCAGACAGTTTAAAGCAGAACACTGTGACCATGGTTACCAGATGCTCAGTGTAATTATTTGAGCTAAACGTGCCATACAGGCTCATTATCAGCACTACAGAACCAGAGCACCTTCAACAAGTGCAGACAGCTTAGTACATGCTACATATGGGAACCTGAAGCCTGTGCATTGACCCAATGAGGCAGCCCATGTAAAAATCCACAGCTAACCACTATCTGCTCTCCAAATCACATACCCTGTCAGCGTTCTGCACTTAAAGGACCACTATAGTGCCCTGAGGGTGCCCCCACTGTCAGGGTCCCCCTCCCGCCGGGCTGGATGGAGAGGAAGGGGTTAAACTTACCTCTTTCTCAAGCGCCGTGCGGGGAGTCCTCCTCTTCGACTGAATGCGCATGCACGGCAGGAGCCGCGCGCGCATTCAGCCAGTCCATATGAAAGCATTCACAATGCTTTCCTATGGATGCTGGCGTCTTCTCACTGTGAAAATCACAGTGAGAAGCGCGGAAGCGCCTCTAGCGGCTGTCAATGAGACAGCCACTAGAGGCTGGATTAACCCATTTATAAACCTAGCAGTTTCTCTGAAACTGCTATATTTATAGAAAAATGGGTTAACCCTAGCTGGACCTGGCACCCAGACCACTTCATTAAGCTGAAGTGGTCTGGGTGCCTATAGTGGTCCTTTAATAACACAAAATAATATTTTTTAATGGTAGAATAGTTTTTTTTTTTTTCTATAATGTTGTCACTATAATGTTGGGCTCACTAACTTACAAGACATTAATGTAATTAATGCTTTTGTTCAAGCAAGGTAATAAGAAACACTATCATTTTCTTTGAGATGCGTGTCCATTTGTAAAGAAAGTTCTGAAATTCAGGCCTGCTGATCAGCTCTGCTGTGAAGAAGACTTCTCCAGGCATAAAATACACACGAAGGAAACAAATCAAATATTTTGGGGTTATTTAAGAGAAAAAAAACGACATTCCCTCATAATAGTGGTTATTAATAGTGGAATGAATGTACTTTCGCGGTTTTGTCAAACATTTTGAAGCAGTTTGTCAAAAATGAGGTGGCCTGGCATACATACTAGCCCCCTAGGTTTAGATAATACAGAAGTCAATTTTCTCATTAGCCCATTCATCTCTGAGCTGAAATGCAAGGCTTAGTGTGCTTAACTGACACAAATCCACAAGATAGTGTTTGCAGACTCTTTGCAACTTAAACACAAAAATGCACTTATGTTGCATAGAATCACCCTTTAAAATCTGCTCTTAAGTAAGTTATATAGGGGTTTGGAAACCGCACATAGCTGCATTTAAGTCCACCATAATGTCAGAGTACACCAATATTGTCAGGATGTACCTTAATTCTAATGTGTGCTATTTTGTTTAAACTAGTGTGTTTATAAAATGGTGTTAACTTTATGCCCCATTCTTCAAGTTAATTTATCTCAATGACCCATGCTTCATTTGTAATAACAGATATATCAAAAATAAAATCTGCAAAGCACCATCATTGAAATCTTCCCAGTGTTAGAGGGGTCTCTATTGCACTTTGAAAGACAATTCTGTTTACCATAAATTATTTCCTGTGTGCACTTTACTGGGTCAATATAGCGTGTAGGAGTCATCCATTGGGTTCAGGTGAACTTGTTTCAGGAACCAATTTTGGAAAACCCACAGATTTAAATTAAGGTCATTTCATGAGTGTACTTAATGTAACACAATGTCAGGTTAGTGCTTTCCAATTCTTGTTTTTTTTTCCTGCTGCTGCAGTTATTGTCTGTACCATGTTGTGCAACTTGTTGAGTGTTTCTCACAGATTTTTGTGTTCCTGCAGCTTTAAAAAGTCTGACAATGGATGTTCTCAATAGCATGGCACCATACATTGCCCTCCCGTCCATTCTTCAGAGAATTCTGCAGGTGAGTGGCAGCACTAGCTGCACAGACCCATCTCATTTCTTTCCACCTCACCTCTCACAGTTGACCAGTATGTGTGCCATTTAACAGCAATGCTTCCAGCGAGCACACTCTCCAGTCCAGATCATTTACCTTTAAGACTTCACCTCCTGAGGAGGCCAGTGTAAAGACGTCCAGTAAAGTTGTTTAGTTATTATTTTCAAACTCACACCACAGCTGTGTATAATGCAGACCCTTTAAGTCAGGGGTGCCAAAAAGGTAGATCCCCAGATGTTGTAGAACTACAACTCCCAGGATGCTTTGCATGCCTTTGGGGTGGCATTAGAATGACAAAGCATCATGGAAGCTGTAGTTTTAAAAACATCTGAGGATCTACCTTTTGGGCACCCCTGCTTTAAGGAATACTACACAAAGCATTGAGAGTTAACTGACTTAATGTGCCTGACGCATGTCCCTACTGCCATAGATAATTCATGTTTGGTCAAACTGTTTACACTTGGCATGTGTTTCATTTAAATTTTATATGCATCAGGCTGCATGTTTGGTATTAACCTTCTGGTTCTTTATTGAGATTTTGTTTAGTTTTTTCTGAAATTCTCTCTTTTCTCTTTAAATGTTGTGTAACACAGTTTAGCATAGTATAGTGTTACATATTAAAGAATTTAGTTGGTTATTTTTGGAAAGACTACATCAAGATTTCTCTGGCTTTCGAGTGTGGACTGGGATGCTAAGGAACGCTACCTTGTTACCATTAAATATATACAGAAAAACAATGTCCGTTATTGAAGGTTTGGGTGCAGACAGAGCCACTTTAGAGATGGCAGGTTTCTGGAAGATTTGGTGTTATTTGGTAGTTTATTTCACAGTAGGATAACCAACAGAAGATTGCTTGACCCTCTTCTTTGTTGCTTAGTGACATTTGTCCAATCAAACATTTCTCATAGAGAAGCATTTTGGATATATGGCACATGCAATTCACCAGTCCAGTGCTTGTCATACAGAACCATTGGACATACATCCAGTGTACAGCATATATTACATGCTCAAAAACAGCACTGTATTCAAATGCAAGGCTGCAGATGCAGCATTTAAGACCACAAACCACTTCATTAACCCCTTCACTACCAAGTGGTTTCTAAAAAAAATCTTCCCCAGAATCAGAGTATTTTGGGTGTCCTAGAATGTAATGTTTAAAAAAAATATATATCTATCTATATATATATATACAGAAAAATACAGGCACTCCAAGGTTTTCCAAAGAAATATTCTTTTATTCCAAAAAGTAAATCAGGATGTGTCCTGGTGAAAGCTCCGAACAGGAGCTGAAACGTTGATTTACTTTTTGGAATAAAAGAAGATTTCTTTGGAAAACCTTGGAGTGACGGTATATTTCTGGAGAGACTATATCGCCATGAACAGCCTCCCCACACATTTCTTTTTTAATTTATTTATTTGTGTTAGGTGAGCTTACCTTTTAGCAGTAGCAGTGAGGGAGGCTCTGATCATCTTTCCTGGTGGTCCGGTGGGCTGCCTGTGGAATCTGCCCTTTGCCCTGGGGAAATGTAAGGGAGCTCTGCAGAGCCAGTGCTTGAAAGGTAGCGCTGGCTCCGCAAGCAGCAAAATCATTGCAACCAAAATTTTGCAGACCCTGGCAATTGTGTAGGGGTTAAGGTTAATTAATTGTGAAGCTTAGACTGTCCCTTTAAATAACTGATTATTTTAAAATATATATAGACTATGCATCCTACACACTATAGGTGGTCCTCACTTTACAACCTACCTGTTTTACGACGGCTTGTACTTACGACCAGCTCTCTAGCGTGGGGATTTAAGGGATTCCCCACTTTAGAGAGCTGGTCTATGTTCTGGGGAATTCCCCCGAACGTAGACCTGCTCTCTTGTGCATGCTCGCTAGCGCATCCTCACTTACCGACCAATTCGTTTTACGATCGAGTCGTGGGAACGGAACCCGGTCGGTAAGTGAGGAGTGTCTGTAATCGTGTTTTTATTCTTTGTTTTTTTTAGTTGATACATGTGCACAATTATTTAGCACAATATTACAAAAAAGAGAATTGATTACAGTACAATGATATGCTTTATTTAAAGTAACTCTCCAGAGTTTTAAAGAAATGCCTTTATTTATAACAATGAGAGTGTTGTGCAGTTTCCTTGGCTACCTTTCCCCCTGTACTTGTAAAAATGAAGAATTATCTTCCCTCTAATCCGGCATCGAGAAGGTCCCTTACCACAGCTCCTCTGTGCTTCCAGGTGATTACCAGTACTGATGACCTCTCGACCAGTCCAATACCTATCACAGAGAAGTATTGGGAGGCAAGGTGCATGACATTGGAATTATTTCATTTCTATTAGAAGCAGTGCTTTCTGCTTTGTACTGAGGTATGGTGCAGTCAGGAAAAACACCCTCCCTGCTGTTTATTTGACAACCGGAGGGGGTCGCAGTTTAGAAACTGAAAAAAGTGCCTATTTCAATTCAAATCAGCACTTTTATAAAGTAAGAAAGAGGAGGCACTTGGTTAACTCCTAAATCACTTCAGCAAACTGAAGTGCTTTAGGATTTAGATTCTTCTTTCATTGCAAAGTCAAACCATAAAATTTGAACAAAATGTGGCTATATAATAAGTAACGCTAACCTGTTTAACCCCTTAAGGACACGTGACATGTCATGATTCCCTTTCATTCCAGAAGTTCGGTCCTTAAGGGGTTAATGGGGAACTCTGACTATGATAACCATTACAGCTATTGTAGTGGTTATGGTGCATAAAAGTCCAAGTGCAGTCCCTCTGTTTTTATGTCACACCGCATTCTAGCATTCCAAGTGTAAATAGTTATGATGGGCAGAGATCTCTGTGGAATGGGTTAGGCTAGCACTCAAAGGGCCATGCATTGGATGCTAACATTTTACAAGCCAGTTTCAGGGAGAGTAACTGCACCCTAAGTCTCCTTGCAGCATAGCCACTACAAAATACTTGCTTAGTGTCCCTTTAATGCAGTGTTTTAACATACTTATTTAAGAGTATATTGCTCTTCACTACAGGAAAATTTTAGAGATCTGCAAAGCTCCTTTGGGAACTGTAATGCAGGGAATCCTGAGTTGTATATGTTTACAAGAAAGTAAAGAGTCTTCATACAATATTACAAAATAGTGTGATGAAAATTATTAAGATACCAACACTATAGCACTATACCATTACAATTTAATATCTCGGAGATGGAGAGGTTCACTGCTCATGCACCCTTGTCCTGTCCACAGTGTATCTCCGTAGTACAAGTAACCAAGAGTATATCATTGTAATGACTTATTTTGTTCATTTCTTTTTCCAGTGTGTTTATGTAAATAATTTAGAGAACATTTTTATAGAAATGGAAAGCGTGTTATTGGGAAATTAAAGCGGAACAAAGAGAAGGTTAACTGCTTGATCCCCAGTAGTACATCAATATGACCTCTTTGCTACAGGCTAAGTCTACTAACTCATTAGGGATTACCTCCCATTTCTCTAGTGTTTTATTTTAGGGTTACTACTAACTCCATTTGTTCTCTTTTTTGAAGTATCAGAGGAACCATCAGGGCCAGGGCTCCAATGGGGCTGCATTGTCTGTAATACCCTCTCCATCTCATGGGTTCTGTAAGGGGCTCAATTTGGCCTTCCAGTATATGGTGGAGGGTTATTTTGTCTAAGAAAGATCTTATGTGTGAAGATTTGGGTTGGCAGTGTGGAGGATGTCTTTCAAATTATCCAAGGATGAATAATGATTTGATGGCCCTGTGCTAAGTAAAGATATGGCATGGTAAAGGCAGCTTTATTATCTTTAAGCTTATGCACCAGTAGTGTGTTGGCTTTATTATACTCGGCATAGAATATTTGCTTCACTTCGAAAAGATTGGGTTTGGTATTTTTCAAGTTCCATTCTCTGCAGGTCACATTTAAGAGTAGCTAAGCACCAACAATATTTTGAGACTTGCTCATTTAATTAAGGAGATATATTTCATAAACTCTCCTCTAATGGTGACATTATGGGACATCTGTAATGTGTTCGGTGAGATATTAGGAGTTTTTTTTCTCCAAAAAGTAGTTGGAGATAACAGTTGTAAAGTATTCCTGCATCATGGCTTGATTGGATAGAAGTTAGTCAATAATTCTTCTCTTTCCTTTACTTTGAAATGGGTTTCTCAATATGTTAGAAGGATCGGATGATGATCCAAAAAGTGTAGAGTTCCTATTTTGCTGGTTTCTACTTTGCTGCAAGATATCTGTATCAAGGAGAAAATATTCAAGGCTAAAATAACTATTGTGTCTAGGGGTAAAGTCACCTACTGTTGCCCGACCACATGGTGATTCCAGTCAAATTGGAAAATCAAGATGGCAGTTTTGGAGGCAGAAGAATAATTTAAGTTTCTAACGGCACTAGTGAAACCTACTTGGGTTAGGATAAGTGTCTTGCAATGACAAAGGATGTGTCCACGTTTCAGGGTATTGTCTGTTATTTATGAAGTACAGCCAGAAAACTGTAGGGAATTAAATTTGACATCTTTTACCCACTTTGAATCATAAGATAATGTAAAACACAATGTACCCATCATTCTGAGAAGAAAATATTCATACAAGTTAAGGAGTGAAAACAAATAAATGCAACATGGTTTGTTATAATCATTATATACATTTTGAAAAGCTAAACATGCGTTTCCATATACATGCTACACATATTTCCTACCATTACAAGTTCTCTAAAAGGATTCATGTTTCTATGGTGACAATTTCACACAATAACTATCTGATTGCAGCCTAATCATGGTAATACACATTTATTTTCTACTGGAAGTCAAATTTCGCTCAAGGATTAAATGATTTAAGGAATGTTAGCTATATTGATAAGTTTTAATGATGTATTTGTTCCAGTGTTGAGAATTTTGAATGCAGTGCTAATTATGGAGGTTCAATCTCATCCCCTTTCCTATATGTGCGATGCCAGGTAGGAATCTGATAAATTGATTCTCCGAGCCAAATGTGAATGGAAAGGCTGTAGCACAAGCATTGCATTCGTATTTCTGATCTGGCCGCTTGAGTGTGCGAAAACATAAACAATCTGGCATCATTATCAGATTGGAATTCCTTTTCCCCAAGTGTGTTTTGTAATTCACACAATTCAGATTGTTTGGTTTTCGGATCATCTTTCAATACCACTCAGTGCACTCATATTATCATCCTAAGTTTTCTACATCGATCAACATATTTGCCATAAACAGAATAAATCTGTTCAGTTTTAACTGATGTACAGATGTACAGAATGTACAGTGTTGAATATTTTAGTTTATACATATATAAACACAAAATAACAAATGGTGTTGAATTGAAAACTGAATTGCAAAATTTAGGCTAACACAACCAAACAATGCATGCAGCTGTGTTTAAAAAATTATTTCAAATTAACACCATTTTCGCTCTAAACTTAGTTTGCAATTTGATTTTAATGCCACAACAAGTTGCTATTTAGTGGATAAACCCCTAAGTGTGTGCAGCCAAGACTTACGAAAAATTACCTATAATGTTTATATTTGTAATTTTATTAAATTGATCTATGCTTCAAAGGCCAGCAGTTAACTTCACAGACACTCCTTTCTATAAATCAGTACTTTGTTCACTCACATCATAAGCTGGAGCACCCTTATCTGGAATCAGTGGCAAAAGTGGTAGCCCCTGACTCAGGCTGGCAGTATATCTCTTACCTACCGTCTTACATAGTTTCTTCCTATTTGAGGCAGTATGAGTTTCACAAAACGCCCTCCCGTGCAGAAGAGGTTAAACTGCAGACAAAGCAGCAGAAGACGCATCTGGTGTCTGCCCCTGGCTCGCTTTCCCGCAGGATGCAGATGTTTCAAAGAGTCTCTTTGAAATCTGGGCCACCATTCATGCATATTTCATGCCAGCTCGGTAGTGATGTGACCATATACTCAGAGAAATTTAACACTGTTGTGCCTGTTACACAGCTACAATCTGCAGACAGTGGTAGATGATGCTGCTTAGAGTTATTGCACTCTAATTTGTGTTTAAATATCCTTTTGTATATTAAAGTAATCTGTTCTCTAGATTAACAGATTCTTGAATAAGGATGTATGCCATGGATTCAAGGCATTACACTGGCATGTGAGCCAGCAGTATGTATAAAACAGCAAAGGGCAAAAGACTTTGAAAACAGCATGAACAAAGCCACTTTATTTTGTTACATGCCACTTATGCTTTCAGATTCTTTAATGTAAGAACTTATTTGCCTTTTTCATATTCCTAAGAACAAAGTTTGTGTTGCAGTGGGCTTATTAACTACTCTGATTTTGTACAGAAATGCTCCTAAATCACCAATTACT